ATCTAATTTCTCATTTTCAAGGTGATTATTTTTCTTTAAATTGCTATCCCAGTTTTGTAAAAAAAAAAAAAAAGAAAAATGTTGATGAATTCAATTATTGATCAGTCTCTCATTTAAGGTAGAAATAATGATAACATGTATAGTTTGGCAGACATTAGACTGTATTAATATTTTAATAATTTATACAATTATATATTCTGACTACATATACATATACATATATATAATCTTATATAAGAACCCATAAAATAATTTTGAAGATTTCAAGAGTAAATTTCAGGGAAAAACAGAATAAAGGGGAGGCAATAAAAATTGTGCTATGAGCAAATGTTATATGTTAGGGAAAATTTGAGATGTAAACATGCATTTATTGAATATCATGTGCTGAAAACTTTCTAAGCACTTTCTGACATAAATATTTAATCATTATTATGCTTTACCCACCATAGTGCATTGCACATGTGAGCAAACTAGGGCGTGCATTTAAAAAATAAAGTAAATTAATGAATGAAAAAAACAAAAAGAAGGAAAGAATAGAATAGCCCTGCTAAGCATTGTAAGTACTTAAAGCTTTTCTCTCATGGAAAGCATTAATTCAACAGCCAGACAAAAGCATAAATCTTCCTTCTCAGAGTATATCTTAATTATTCTAAAATTTACAATTCAAATATTTTTTTTCTGATGAAAAGAACACAGGATAAATTACTGCAAAAATGTCTGTTATAATTTCAAAGCAATGTTTGTTAAAGAAGTAAGTCTGGTAAAAATGGGCTTCTGATATTAGTAGCTCTTGAGACATATTCAGAAGCTTCTCTACCCACCAGCAGAAATGAACCGCACTGGAACTACCCTAGGTAAATCCCTCCACACAAAATGAGGAAGCCACCAGTGATGCCAGACTCTTTCTTCCATGACCAGTGTTTTCACTTTAGTTCCACATAGCTGTGAAGTCCATGATAGCAGAGAATATCAGAACTTCACTGGTAACTACTTATAACCATGGATAAGCCATTATTTCCTCCTATAGCTCTGTTTCATTATTAAAAATTATAGGAGTTATACTATTCTGTCTATAATTTTCCTTCCAATTCTAACATCAAATGAGTTTTTGAATCAAATTGCACATAACATTTCAGCTCTAATGCAATGAGAGGTCTCTGTCAGGAAAATCCCCCATGAAGCATTCCCCAAAACCCCCATTCAAAAATAACCTTGATATCCTCTGGCTTTCCAATCTTAATTATCATAGTTATAACCCAGCAGCACTAAAGAGGTGATGGGATGTTTTAAGCTTAATTGTAAAGAGGAAATACTTAAAAGATGTACACTGATTAAACTTGTCTCTAATTTGAAACATCTTTTCTAATCCCTTCCTTATCAAGTTATCTCTTATTGCCATGAGAACTCACAACCCACAGTAAGCAGTGGGAGCCTTTATCAAAAGAGGCTCAAGAGGAATGAAAAACAAAGTAAAATGAAATAGACCAAACTATATTATATTATGAAATAGACCATTCAACAATTTATTCTGCTTCTTGTTGTCCTGAGAACCCGATGACATCTGGTACTTATGCTGGAGATCTTGAATCATCTCCAGATGAACGTGAATATCCTAAGCTATTTAGCAAGTGTGTGCATCCATGTGCACACTTGCACTCACACCCACAATACAGCTTAGTTCAACTTACATCCTCTCCTAGAGGCTCTATGCACATATCATATATGCACATAAAGCATATAACAAAATGCCATCAACTTACATATCTGGGCTCAGTAATAGATGGACCTGCTAACCTCTTATCATATGCTAAGGGAGAAAGAAGAATGTAAGTCTCATGAGTTTGAAACATCCATAAATCCAAACTTTTTTGCAACAAAATGGGATATCTGTTAGTGTTCAACCCATTTCTGTTGAAGGAGCCTCTTTTAGTCTTCTGTAGCAATTCTGACTTGGGCTTTAGATGGACTCTATGTGACATGCCCCAACAAAACAAAACAAACTTTACTACTAACTTATGACATACTTTTTGCATATGATATTACTAAATTCATCTCATAGATTTCTCCTAAGTGCCTGTGATATATACAGCCCATGGCTGATCCTCACATCTGATTTTTTACTCTAATAGTGCCTGGCACCTAGTTCATATTCAGATAATGTTACTGGACTAGAATGAATAGCCTTTAACTTGTGACATTCATTGTTTCTTTTCTTTCCTTTTCTTTTCTTTTCTTTTCTTTTCTTTTTTTTTTTTTTTTTGAGACAGAGTTTCACTCTTGTCGCCCAGGCTGGAGTGTAATGGCATAATCTCGGCTCACTACAACCTCTACCTTCCAGGTTCAAGCGGTTCTCCTGCCTCAGCCTCCCTAGCAGCTGGGATTAGAGGCATGTGCCACCACGCTTGGCTGTTTTGTATTTTTAGTAGAGATGGGGTTTCTTCATGTTGGTCAGGCTGGTCTTCAACCCCCTACCTCAGGTGATTCACCCGCCTCGGCCTCCCAAAGTGCTGGGATTACAGGCGTGAGCCACCACACCTGGTCTCATTGTTTCTTAATAATTTAGTGGATGCATTTTTCCTTCTTATTTGTAAGTTTCCTCTCTAGCAAGTTAGTAACATATTACCTAAATGTATTTTAGGTAGTATGTTGTTGAGAAGGTGGAAGTTCTTGTGGCAAATCCATTTTCAATAGAGGTTATCCTTTGTAAAATGAATTTATGATTTATTCTACAATTTTGTATTTCCACATCTTTGGATTCCTTAACATGAGAGTATATAACCATAACTGAAGTTACCTGTCACATAAACAGTTTTGTGTAGCTCCATTGTCATCCCAGCTCTCTGTATGTTGAATGTAGGGGATGCCAGTAAAGTGGGTAGCTGGGAATCAGCCACATGCATTACGTTGTCTCCTGAAAGGCTGAGCAGTACCATTTAAATTTCAGTGAGCAATTTTCATCTTATCTATGGAAGTATGCTGAGATGGTGTATTAGTCTGTTTCCACACTGCTGATAAAGACATAACCGAGACTGGGTAATTTACAAAGAAAAAGAATTTTAATGGACTCACAGATCCACATAGCTGGGGAGGCCTCAAAATCATAGCGGAAGGCAAGGGAAGAACAAAGATACATCTTATATGGCAGCAGGCAAAAGACAATGAGAGCCGAGTGAAAGGGAAACCCCTTATAAACATCATCAATTCTCGTGAGACTTACTCACTACCATGAGAACAGTATGGGGGAAACTGCCCCCATGATTCAATTTTCTCCCACCAGGTGCCTCCCATAACACATGGGAATTATGGGAGCTACAATTCAAGACAAGATTTGGGTGGGGACACAGCCAAACCATATCAGACAGTAATTTGGTGGGACTAAAGTCACAATCATTATTTCTTTTAAGTAATGAATGCTATATTATACATTTCACCCTTCCAAGATGTTAGAGCATTTTATTTTTATTTTAATCAGTGCAGAGTGCAGTTAGAAAATCTGTCAAAATTATTTTATTGACTATGATTATGTAGTGAACAACTCAAATTATTGCAGCATTTAGAAAGAAAAACCAGGACGTATAAAGGGATGGACAGCAGTTTATAAAACATAGAGGGGCAGCATGACCTCAGCAAGTACATGCAAATGTTTTCAATCCTGCATTTTATACCAGCAACTCAAGAGTTATGCCTCCTACCTCATTCACTCACTCATTCATTCATTCATTCATTCAAGTCACAGGATCATCTCCAATGTGCAGGGCCCTTTGCTAAATGCCAGGGATAGAAGGTAAGAAAAAGGAGCGTGTGGCTTCATGGAGGGAGCCAGAAAATAAGCATTTACATAAATAAACAAAATGCTGTCAGCTTGTGATAAAGGTTACAAAGAAACTAAGCAATGTGTGGTGGTAGTTACAGTGATCTACTTAGATACTGTGGCACAGGAGGACTTTCCGAGGAGATGACATTTGTCCTGAAGGAGGAAAAGGGGAGTTGTGAGCACCCGTGTCCATTTCTGGACATCTCATCAAAGATCTGAGGATCTCATTGGCCATCACAGACAGTAGATCATACATGACAAACATGGATATGTAAAGATATATCATAACCGTTTAACATCTTCACCACCAAAAACATAAGCTGGTGGGGTGGATGAATATATTAATTGCTTGATTGAATATTTCCTATTGTGTATACATAGATCAAAACATTACATTGTACTTCATACATATACATAATGGTTATATGATAATCTTTAAAAATTAGTTAAAAAACCAGAGTCCATCTTGAATATGTAACAACCCCAAATACAGAAAGTACACTAGAAAGTGCACTCAGAGGAAACAGAGTGCAGGATGTTAACTGGTAGCATTGGTTGCACATAAAGCAATCCAAGCTGTTAAAAAATGGTACTTGCTAGCAGAGACAGATAGGAGCAAAGGATGCCAGAGGGAAGCACTGGTTCTCTGCACTTCCCCCTGACAACTCAGCAAGGCCACAGAGCATGGCTTCTTCCAATTACAGTTAAGATAGCCAGTTAAAGGTTTGTAGCGGACTTTTGCTGTTTTTTGCAACTCTGTTTCCCCTCATTTTCATTTCAGTAATTGCACTCCTTCTTCCTTTTAGGAAACCTTCTTTTCCCTGTGGTGTGCCAGATTGGTGAGGATGCAAATCACTGTGCACTGCCTGACTTTTCCAAGCCAGGGTAAGGCTCTAATGTGGGGGCTTTGGATCTTGAGCAGAGCAATCTGAGACGAAAAGGCATAGCTGGAGTTCCTTCCTTCCAGCATCAGCACTGTGGTGTGACTGTTACCAATTCCTGGTGCACAGAGCTAGAGAGTAGCCCTGGTTTCTACCTTGTTTCTGACCTGATCTTCATTCCAGGATTTCTGTCAGTCCTATTAACCATCGAAATCCTGCCAATAAATTGCTCTTTTGCTTAAATTATTGAGAATTGGCCTCTATTGCCTGCAACCAAAATCTGTCATTCTTACACTTCTCAACAGAGTAAACTGCTATGCATCCTCCAGCTGCAAGGGATTGAACGCTATCAACAACCATATGAATGGAGAAGCGGTTGCTTCCCTAGCTGAGCCTCAGGTAAGAACCCAGACCTGGCCAACACCTTAATGGCAGCTTTGTGAAACCCTAAGTTGATCTCTCTAGGTCCTGCCTGGACTTCCAATCCACAGAAACAGGGAGGTAATAAATATGTGTTGTTTTGAGCTGCTGAGTTTGTGGTAATTTATTATATAAACAGAGATAGAGGAATGACTTAACGATACTGTGATCATACAATGAACCAATTATGGAATGTAGAATTATCCATGCTATGAATAACTTTGTTTCTGCAGAATATCAATGGCTTCACAAAGGGAAACAAGGGCATCATTAAAAGAAAAAAGAGAGAAAGAATTAGAATTATAACCAAATGCATTGTGTCAAATTTGTATGTATGCTGATTCAAACAAACCAATTGTAAAAGAGATATTTTGAGAGAATTGGAGAATTTAAATATGCACTGTATGGAATTTAAATATTAAGTGATATAAAAGAAATATTGCTTCTTTTATTAGGTATGATATGATAATTATAGTAAAAAGAATCTCTATGATAAACACATACTGAAGTAATTCTGGGTACAATAATATGTAGAGATTTGCTTTAAAAAGATTCAGAAAAATATAGTGATAATTGATGACATGGGATGATGAGTACTTGGCAGTTCATTATACTATCCTCTCTACTTTTCTGTATGATTGGAAGTTTCCATTTCAAAAGTTAAAAAAATAAAACACAGGAACATTTCTAGAACAAACAGTGTAACAGAGTAAATAAAATAAATGAAAGAAATTAAAAATGAAGGAATTATACCTGAAAGAAGACTGAGAGTAGACAATATATCCACTTAAATATATATGGATAAGTAGAATGGTCCTAATAAAATTGATTAATCTTTATATTTTTAAAGTAATGATCTATATTGTAAAATGAAAGAAGGAAAAGGAAAACACAAAAAGAAAAAAAGGAAGGAAGGAAGGATGCACAGAGAAAGAAGAAAGAAAGGAGATCAATGACAGACATTTTAAATTTTCTTCTAAAATTTAAAAAGCAGAGATTCTTGAGGTTGAACATAGAGCCTATATCTTCCATAAAAGAAAAACAAAGGACAGTTACATTATTATTGATTGTGAGAGCTATATTTAGCTATACATGTGTCTATATTTCAGTTAAAGTGTATATTTGTGTGTTATATGTGTGTTTACATATAAATTTACAAGAGGTGAAACTAAATGGCCAATATCCGTTAATACTGTCAAGGCCCTGAAAGGAAAGAAACACTGAGGAACTCTTCCAGACTAGGGAAGAAATGAAAAGTAAACGAAATGTGGGATTCGAGACTGGATCCTGGAAAAGAGCAGTAGTGGGACAATACTAAATTTTTACAGTTGGAAAATTTTTACTAAAGTCTATAGATTAATGAACACTAGCATATCAAATCTAACTTCCTGGTTTTGATAATTGTAGTGTGATTATGAGAAATTTGTTATCATTTAGGCAAGCAGGGTGAAGGGTATATAGGAATTATTTGTAATATTTTGGCAACTTTTGTAACCTAAATTGTATAAAAATGAAAACATAACAAAAAAAGAATTTGAAAATTTGGAAGATTTGTTTAAAGAGAGACAAGATAACAATATTAAAAAAGATTTACCAGTGAACAAATCCAAATGGCCAAATGTTGGGCATTGAAATTCAACATACAACACCAATTAAGATAGCATTGGCTTAGAAAAATAAAATACTTAAGTGTAAATTTTGTTTTGTTTTGTTTTTGTTTCTGTTTTGAGATGGAGTCTCACTCTGTTATCCAGACTGGAGTGCAGTGGTGCAATCTCAGCTCACTGCAACCTCCACCTCCATGGTTCAAGAGATCCTTCTGCCTCGGCTTCCCAAGTAGCTGAGATTACAGGTGCCCATCACCATGCCCAGCTAATTTTTGTATTTTTAGTACAGACGGGGTTTCACCATGTTGGCCAACCGGTCATGAACTCCCGACCTTTAGTGATCTGCCCATCTTGGCCTCCTAAAGTGCTAGGATTACAGGCGTGAGCCACCGCACCCAGCCAACTTAGGTGTAAATTTAATAAAATATGTGCAAGGCTTATACTCTAAAAACCACCAAATGGTGGTGAAATAAATATAAATGTATGTAAATAAATGAGGAGATGAAAATGCCCATGAATTGGAAGATTCAATGGTGTGAAGATGTCAATTACCCCAAAAATGATATACAAATTTCTTATGCAAATCTCAACAAAATTTTATTTAAATATAGACACGATTATTTTAAAATTTATGTGAAAACGCAAAGGAATTTGTATAGCTAAAATAATTTTTGAAAAAGGAGAAAAAAGTAGGAGAAATTAGTCTATCCCATTTCAAGGTTTATTGTATTAATATAACTGCAGTAACTACAGTAAGCAACACTGTATACTGTGGGCAAAGGGATAGACACATAGGCCAATGGAGCACAACACAGAACCCAGAAATAGATCCACACAAATATTTCCAACTGATTTTTTACAAAGGTGCAAAAGCAATTCAATGGAGGAAGGATAACTTTTTAAACAAATAATGCTGGAGCAACTGGACAGCCGTAAGTGAAAAAACTGAATTTTGACCTACACTTCACACCTTGTACAAAAAATTAACTCAAATGGATCATAGATTTAAATGTAAAATGTAAAACCATAAAATTTTATTTAAAAACAGGATAACCTTTTCAGGATTTAGTGCAAAGCAGAGTTTTTAGATTTGACACCAAAGTACGGCCCATAAGAGGTGAAATTGATAAACTGGATTTCATCAACATTAAAATCTTTTGCTCAGTAAAAGGCCCTGTTAAGTAGATAAAAAGACAAGCTACAGGGTAGAAGGAAATATTTGCGAACCGCATATATGTTAAAGGACGAGTATCTAGAATTCTGAAAAACTCAACAGTTAAAAAACAGAAAAGGAGCAGAAGACCCGAAGGGACGTTTCACTGAAGAGGATATGCAAATAACGATAAGCACAAGAAAAGATGTTCTGAGTCATTAGCCATTAGGGCAATTCACACTAACATTATAAGGAGATAGCACTAAACATTTATCAGACTGGCTAAAATAAAAAATAATGACAACAACAAATTCTGGCAAGGAGAAATTAGATCACTTGTACATTGCTGATGAGAGTTTCAGATGGTACAACTACTCCTGAAAATAGTTTTGCAGTTTCTTAATAAACTAAATACGAAACTACCATACAACCCAGCAATTGCCTTCTGGGGCATTTATTCTCCAAAAATAAAAACGTGCATTCTTACAAAAATCTCTACACAAATATTCATAACAGCTTTATTCTTTTTTGTTTGTTTTTGAGAGGGAGTTTTGCTCTGTTGCACAGGCTGGAGTGCAGTGGGGCTGTCTCAGCTCACTGCAAGCTGTGCCTCCTGGGTTCATGCCATTCTCTTGCCTCAGCCTACCGAGTAGCTGGGACTACAGGTGCCCGCCACCACGCCCGGTTAATTTGTGTGTGTGTGTGTGTATTTTTAGTAGAGATGGGGTTTCACCATATTAGCCAGGATAGTCTCGATCTCCTGACCTCGTGATCCGCCTGCCTCAGCCTCCTAAAGTGCTGGGATTACAGGCGTGAGACACTGCACCGGGCCAACAGCTTTATTCTTAACAGCCAAAAACCATAAGCAACTCAGACGTCCTTCAGTAGGCAAATGTTTACCAAACTGTGGTGCCTCCCTACCAAAAAACACAACTCAGCAATAAAAAGCAACAAATTATCAACAAGCACAATTACCTGGAAGAATCTCTAGAGAATTACGCTGAGTAAAAAGGACCAACTACGAGAAGTTGCATATACATTTATGTAACACTCTTGAAATGACAGAATTATTGAAATGGGTTGCCCAGGTTTAAGGAGAAGAAGGAGGGGGAAGTAGGTATGACTACAAAAGGAACACGAGGAAGCTTTTCCGTGTTAGAGTGTTCTGTATCTTGACTGCATCAGTGTCAAAATCTGGGTTGTAATGTTGTACTACACTTTTGCAATATGTACCCATTGGTGGAAACTGGATTAACAGTACCTGCGATTTGTCTGTATTATTTCTTACAACTGCATGTGAATCTACAATTATCTCAGAATTAAAAGTTTAATTAAAAATGGCAACAAAATTACTGTGCACACATTCCCAGTGCATCATTTGTGCTCCCAGGTATATACTAAAGAGAAGTGAATGATAATATCCAACATGAAAAACATACAAGGATGTTCATAACACCTTTACTCATCAGAGCACCAAAGCGGAAACCCCCGATGCCCACCAACAGAAGATAAGAGAAACAAACTGTGACATTTCCTAACAATGCAATATTATACAGCAATGAAAAAGAACAAACTACTACTAAATGTGCCAAAATAAATGAATATCCCTAAGATAATGGTGAATTCTAAGTGTCAAACACAACTGAGTACATACTGTGTGAGTCCACGTTAGAAAAGCTCAAGAACAGGCAAACTGATTGTAGAAAGAAGTCAGAACAGCGGTTACTGCTAGAAAGAGAGTTATTGATTGGGAAGAGGCACAAAGCCTATATCTTCACCTGAGTAGTGGTGAAACATGTGTATAGAAACATAAAAATTCAAATAACTGTGCCTTTAATATCTTTGCCTTTCATGCATTTAAACTAACGAAAATAAAAATACTAAATCTTTAAGAATAATATGATACAGATAAAAAATACTGTGCTAGCCAAATAACAAACTTCGACAGCATATGGCCTAACCCCGTAACCTGCAGTCCAGAAACACTTTTCAATTCAATTTAGAAATATCACAAAATATGAGAATCAGTTGGATATCGGGAATTAGATTAGAAACGTGGCCATCAAGCTTCCATCCAGCTGTAGATCTCGGGAGAGCATGAAATCAGCACCTCAGTGAACAGATGTTGGGGCTAAGAACAATTACCCTCTCTGCAGTAAGCTCTACCATGAGATAAATAATGGCCCCTATGGAGAAACAACAAAACAAAAATAAAAGCA